GGCAGCGATCAGAAGATACTCAACTTCTGCGCCAATAACTATCTGGGTCTGGCGGTAAGTGCTGGGGCCAGTTGGGGCAGACTCTCTTTAGGTCCTCACCCGCATCTTTCAGAACAACCCGGAGATTGTGCAGCACAGCCAGCAGCTGCTGGGAAAGTATGGCGCTGGCTTGAGCTCGGTGCGCTTCATCTGTGGCACTCAGGACATTCACAAGCAGCTGGAGCAGAAGATCTCACAGTTCCATGGTCGGGAGGATGCAATATTGTACGCCTCCTGCTTTGATGCCAACGCGGGCATCTTTGAGGCAATCCTCACGCCAGAGGACGCCGTCTTCTCGGACGAGCTGAACCACGCCTCCATCATTGACGGCATTCGTCTGTGCCGGGCCAAGAAGCATCGCTATAAGCACCGCGATCTAGCTGACCTGGAGCAGCAGCTGCGTTCGTCCGATGCCCGGCTCAAGCTGATCGCCACCGATGGAGTCTTCTCCATGGACGGCAACATAGCGCCGCTGGCGCGCATCGTCGAGCTGGCCAAGAAACACAATGCCCTGGTGTTTGTGGACGAGTGCCATGCGACTGGCTTCTTCGGTGCCACCGGTCGCGGCACCGAGGAGTACGACAATGTCATGGGCGAGGTGGACATTATCAACTCAACGCTGGGCAAGGCCCTGGGCGGCGCCTCTGGCGGCTACACCACTGGCCCGGCCGAGCTCATCTCATTCCTGCGCCAGAAGTCACGCCCATATCTCTTCTCCAACACGCTGCCACCGGCGGTGGTTGCCGTCGGCCTGAAGGTCATGGACATGCTGCTCAGCTCCAGCGAGCTGAGCCAGCGCGTCCAGAGCAATACCCAACGCTTCCGCCAAGCCATGACCAAGGCGGGCTTCACCATTGCTGGCGAAAACCATCCCATTTGCCCGGTCATGCTGGGCGATGCCCGTCTCGCATCCAGCTTCGCCGATGCGATGCTCAGTAAGTCTTGCCCTCTTCTCGCTCTTCTCTTTCCATGTCTTTCTACATATTCTTTCTCCTGCAGCTCGTGGCATTTATGTCATCGGCTTCAGCTACCCGGTGGTTCCGCAGGGCAAGGCTCGCATTCGTGTCCAAATCTCTGCAGCTCACACGGAGCAAGAAATCGATCGAGCTGTCGAGGCGTTCATCGAGGTCGGCCGCTCCTTGAAGGTCATCAAATAATGATATCAGATGTAGAGTTTTCTACATCTCTTTCTGTTGCATTTAGAATTATTGCAGGAAATCTGTTGGCATTTACCGAACTGCAGCGCAGTTTCAAATATATACAAGCTACTTTTTAGCAATATATACTAGACATGGTTTTCTTCAGTAACATTATGGTATAGCATTAAAAATGCCTATGTAATACCTATAGTAATACAATAAGTTTGTTGATTCACTTCTTCATTTCCCTTCGCCATATCTATCAGTTTCCACCTCTTAGGAAGTCGCTCTGCTATGTGATGCTCAAAATATAAAGCTTCTTGAACTCATTTCAAGTTGGACTCTCGCTCTTCTGTGTGATTCTCAAAAATAATCACCAGCAATTACGCAGATTCAACTCTTACAACTAAATGAAATATTGAAAAATTCTTTTGAGTTGCTTTATTTGGTTTGTCTGATTAACTAAGCAGATTTTACTATGTAAGTATGATAATCATAATCATAATAATAATAATTAGGATAAACAATTAGAATTACACATTAAGCTTAAACTAAAATTGCACATTAAATGAATGACTCGTCACAGTGGGGCGAAATGCAGGCGCTGCCCGACTGATCACACAAAAATAGCAATAACAAATTAAATTCGCGACTGTCTAAACATTAAATTAAAATTATACAAATAAACTAAGTAACAAAAGCGAACACAATACAATTATGCAAAATACTTTTACAAAGCGAGAGTTGTGCGAAGATTGGGCTAAATGAATTGCATAGAATGCGCAACTGGAACAAGGATTCGATTTATATACTGTGACTATGAGAACTTTGGTTAGTTTATGCGTGTGCTTGTGACTCTTCGACTGAGAGGAGTTGGGTTAGTTATTCGTTTCACTACTTGTTGACGAGGCCGCGCGCCTTGGGATAGGCGGAGGCCGGCTTCTTGGGCTGCACGCGGCCGGTGGGCGGCCGTCGATTGGAGTCGACCGCAGAGCCCGCGCTGGGCAGGCCGCTGCGCGTGGACTTGACGAGCTTGGAGGTGGTCGTAGCACTTGTGGGCGAGACATCAGCTGAGGCTGTGGTGCTGCTGCTGCTAGCATTACCGTTGATGATGTTCTCGAGGCGCGAGCGCAGCGAATTGGTCTGGGTGTCCACAATGTCGATGTCATCGCCGGTGTGCATCGCCTGGGCCAGCACCGCCTGCAAGGAGGCGGACACCTTGGGCGAGCGGTACTCTTGAGTGGTGCGGCAGGGCATGTCCAGCTCGTAGCTGACAATGTTTTCGCTCTTGAAGCGCAGCGCACTGGGATCATTCGACTTCGCCTGCTGCAGTGCATACTCGGAGATGGGGCGTCGGCGCTGTGGATGCGAGACGGGACGTTTGCTACTAAATTTACCATCGGCATTCATCGGCAGCGGAGCGAATTTCCACTCCTCCTGCTCCTCGTCGTACTTGGCCTGCGTGTAGAGGCGCTGCTTCACCTCGATGGGCACAAAGTTGTCGATGATGAGCAGCTGGCGTTTCAGCTCCTTGACCAGCTCGTTCTGCGCCATCTCCAGTTCGCGTAGATCCTGGTTGTGGTCGTGCTTGCAATCGTTCAGTTCCTGCTGCAGCGCCAGATACTTGGCATAGCACTTGGACAGTTTGCGTTTCTTCAACTCGACTTCCTGCTCCAGCGAGACGTTGCGCTCCCGTATCTCCAGAGTTGTTTCCTCCTGCAGTTCCAGCTGCTGTTGTATTTCGATTTCACGCTTCTTTCGCTCCGCTATCTCCACCAGCTTCTTCTCCAGCTCAATTTGACGTTCACTGTACGTGTCCAGCAGATTCTTGCCGCCGCGCACCAACTGACTCTCCAGCTCGGCCAGTTTGGCTGCCAACTTCGCGTTCTCCACGCGCTCGCGCTCCAATTGCTCACTGGACTTGGCCACTTCCGCTTCGTTCTCCTTGTCCGACTCTGGCTCCGAAACCTCCTGCTCACTCTCCCCTTCATCCTCGGCCGCTTGCAATTGCTCTTGGGTCGCGCTATCCGTCGATTCGCGTTTCACTGCTTCTCGCTTGGGCTTCTTTACGCGTTTCTTAGCTGCTGCAGCCAGTTTCTCGGTGCGCTGTTGTTGCTGCGGCGCAATGAGGCGCTTGAGTCGCTCAATCTCCTCCTGGTACTCCTTCAATTTGGCATCCTGCGGATCCTCGTTCTTAATTGGCTGGTTCTGTATGTTCTTTGCACGCTGCGCGTATCGCAGCGTCGTCAGGGTCTCATTGTAGTTATAGTTCGAGGGTCCGATGTTAGCAATCATGATCGTCTTGGAATTGCCGCCCAGCGAGTCTTGCAGCAGGCGCGTCAGTTTCGAATCGCGATACGGTACATGGGGAGAGTTCTCTGCTAGCGCTGAGATCACATTCCCCAGCGAGGAGAGTGCCAAATTGATTTTGCTGGCCTCCTTCAGCCGTTCCGCCGAGGCGCCCGTCTTTGACTGACGCTCACTGCCCGCCAAGTCAATGAGATTCAGCTTGCCTACCTTGATCGTATTCGTTTCCGTGTCACACATCTCAATTTTGATCATGAATATGGCATGCGAACTGCAGAATAATGAATACAGTAAATAAATTGATCTCGTCAACCATTTTACGCCAGGACTTACCGTGAGCTATGCTCGTTCATGTTGGTGAAGCCTACGGTGCGGTTCTTGTTGCCCACCTTCATGACGTCTATCATGTCATCGACACTCTTGCAATTGATGGCGTGCAGATTGGGCACATAGACGCCGGATCCACGCTCTCGCACCTCCAGGTGCTTGGAATTCGGCTTAAGTAAATCGCGCAGCTCTTCCATATAGATCTCCAAGTATGAAACGTCCACCAGAAACTGGAAGTTTTCCGTGCGATTGATGTGCAGCCAGATCTGCTCAAAGGTGCGTGGTATGATGCCCATCAGGTCATCGTTGCCCCGCACTCCTTCCATCGTGAATGTTTTGCCTGTACCTGTTTGGCCATAGGCGAATATGCAGCCGTTGAAGCCTTCCAGCACAGAGCTTACCAGCGGAAAGACCACTTCATGATAGAGCGTAGTCTGTGAGGCCAGAGCATCATAGGCCGCATCATAGGTGAACACTTTGCGCTGCTCTTTGTTGACATCCACGAGGTTCTGTAGCTCTACGACACCACGATTGGGATACACAGTGACCACTTCCGGGGAGCCCTCAGTGCGCTCTCGATTGCTCATCGGCCGACATCGTACAACCACCTGGACGCACTCATTCGGCGTCTGGCTGCCTGCAGTGCCAGGGCGTTTGCTCTTCGCGCTCATACTGCTCTGCTTTGCTGGTGGCTGTTTTTGGAGACGGTGACTAAAGCAGCCTTGCCTTCGTACCCCCTTTTCACCCCGCGCACTTCGGTCAGCTGCTGTTTTGTGTGGGGCTGTAGCTGTGACGACAAACAAATGTCAAAAAAAATCAATAATTTGAGAGCGACGCGAATTTTGGCTGAATTCGAGTTTCTTATTGTGTCTTCATTTATTCTTATAAATGACGTCACTCTATTGGCCAAATTTTGTGCACAAGCTGGAGTTAGTACTATGCAATAATTACCTGTATTTTTAAAAGCCAAATTACTTCACCTTGGGTACGTTTTTTTTTTTTATTGTTCAGCTGCTACCGCTAACAAAGCTATCGATAGTACCTCGATTGGCTTAATGGGTATTTAGTAATCGAAAAATACCAGATGTGCTAGGAATTAGAAAATTAAATACTACTAAAAAGTGGAAGCAATCGAAAAATTTAAATCGTGGCTTACAAAAATTCAAATTGTTAACATTTTATTCTTTTTTATTTATTATATTGTCTAGAAGATTTATGCTTTTGTGAGGATTTACTGTGATCGGTTGCACCGCGCTTACGTTTATTTAACGGATTGCGCGGATCATATACATCATACCAATCATCCCCTTTGGTAGATGCATCTTTGGCCAGCACAGGAACATTACTATTAAAATTTAAACTGTGCGCAAGCCAATCATCCCCAGAAATTTCCTTTTCCACTTCACTGTCGTCTACTTCCTTCGGCTCCTTTTCGTCATCTTCAGAGTTTGCCTTGTATTTAAGATTGTTCAATTTAGATTTAAACTTGGATAGCAAGCTCAACGTAAATTCCTCTCTGCAAAATCACTTTAATTAGTTTTTATCACTACCGACTGAAGGCTTGGCGTACCAACCTTGCCTGCCCTTTAACCGTAGTTTTTGCTTTGGCACTGTACTTCTCTTTTGTTTGTATGAAATCTTTGATATATTGATTTTCGTTCGCTCCCTTGATATCGTCTTTCTTTGCATTCTTTTCGGATTCCTTCGACAATCGCTTATCCTTGATGACCTTATCCGTTTGATATTGTCGTTTCAATAAAGCAATTTCTTCTCGGATTTTAGATCTGGAATACATTAACCATGCAATTGAAATAAAATATACAGCTCGAGCTAAATACATACTTTTCTTTTGATATTTTTTGTTTTTTTTCCTCCTCCTGGGTCATTAGAACATCGTCTTGATCATCCTCAGATTCACTCTTGATATCTTCACGTTTTGGCTGCTTTGCCGGAGTGGGCTTCGACGTTCTTGATAGTTTACTTTTTATAATATCTGAATTGATGGATGTTTTGGTGACTGGTTCTTCCTCGCAATCGTCCGATAAGTGTTCGTCGTTCTGCTCTGGCTCGGACTCAGGCTCTGTTTTGGGCACCTTAATGGCTTCCTTGCTGAGCTTTGGATCATCCGCGACATCGTGCAATGATTTCGCTTTGCCGGCATTTTGCTTAACAAATATTGTTGTTTCCTGTTCATCTCCTTCAGCCTCCTCTCCAAACGAAAGTAGTCCAAAGTTTCTAAAAAGTTACTTATTAAATGTCTGAAAACTCCAAAGGTATAGCAAATTGAGGACTTACTTGACGCCCTGCTTTTCTTTCTTGCTTTTCTTTACTTTAGTTGGCTTCGGCAAGGAGCGCGGTACGATATCGTTGAAGGGATTGCTGAGAACCTCCGTGGATATTATGCGATGCGCATACATGGGCCGCTCCTGGTGATCAACGATACCCTCTTCTAACTTAAGCATATTGAACACTGTATCACCGGTGACTTTGCCAAAGAGCGTATTTTTGTTTTCCAGTTCTGGTGTCGGCGCAAAGGTGAAGAAGAACTGCGAGCCGTTGTCGTCCTTGCCCGAGTTCGCCATCCCGACCAATCCGCGACGGGAATAACGCAGTCGTGAATGGAATTCATCCTTAAATGGGTGGCCATAAATCGATTCGCCGCCGGTGCCATCGTTATTGGGATCTCCACCTTGCACAATAAATCCTTTAACCAGCCTATGGAAAGTCGTGCCATTGTAATAGCCCTCCAAACAGAGTTGAACAAAGTTGCGACAGGCCTTCGGACACTCTCTGGCCCATAACTCAATATCGATATCACCAACTGTGGTTCTCAACAGTACTTTGCCAGATGTTGGCGGTTCCTGAATATAAATATTACTCATTTTTATATAAAACAAGTAAATAAACTGAGACACCACGAATTGTTTACTTCAGCATCGATGGTTAATTGTTAGTGATGTAAGTATTTGACAAACTATCGATTACATTGTTATATCGATAGGCTAGAGTTTGCAATATCGCTCAATAGCTCAACCTGTTGCAGTTTGATGTCTGTTGTACAAGTGTTTCCATACATTTGAGAATGTAATGTGCCTAAAAAATACAAAAATTCGTTACTAAGCAACGGTTGATTTTTTTTTCATTTCCCAATTTGTAAATTATTCTCGTTTTGGACATTTTGAACATTTTAGGAAACACGTAAAGTAGACAGAACTAAGTATGAATTTTAGCGACGATCCCCTGGCTGATCTACTCAGTGATAATAGCTTGGACAATGACAATTTCTTTGACGCGCCAGCCGGTGGCGCCGCCGCGAAAAAATTGCCAAAATCGAGCAAAGCCAAAGGAAAACTGGAGGATTTATTCGGAATAAAAGAGGAGAGTGAATCAGATGCTCAAAATTCTGCAGCTGCTAAGCAGAGCAATGCCAAATCAACAACGACAAGCACACCGCGCATTGTCAAACAGAAGCCTTCACTCTCTATGGATGATGCCGAGGATGATGACTTGGGATTTGATCCCAAGCGTCCAAAGAGCGGCGGAACAGCACGAAAAAGTCTCTTTGACGATTTACTGGGAGCTGCAGAACCTAAGAGAAACATTTTCGACGACATTGTAAACAACAGCGAATCAGCAAATAAACGTCCAGCTACGGCAAAGCCCTCAATGTCGCGCCAGTCCACGGATACCACAACAGACAACTCCAACGTCCACTCACAGGCGCGTCCTAAAACAGCAGCAAGCGCTGGTAGACGCAGCTCTGGAACTGTGCAGTCCTCCAATCTGAATGCCGATCCCCTGGGTCTGTTTGGCAAAGAGACGAATACCAATGTTTCGGGCATGTCTACGCCCGTATCCAAAAAGCGCGGCACGGCTGACTGGCTGGGTTTGAGTTCCGACAATGCAGAAGCGTCTCCAGCTGCCGAGGAGGAGCTGGAACGTGCTGCTTCCCCACCCACGCCAAAATCCACAAAAGAGACCACAACAGCTCCAAAAAATAGCACAGAGATACTGCGCCTTCCGGACTCGGACGAGCCAAAGCTAGAGGCGAAACAGCCAAGTGTTGTGCCCCCTGTGGATAGCACAGCTCATACTATCCTAATGCTAAATTCCTTAAACTTGGAGAGCAGTCACAGCTACACCGCCCTGCAGCAGCAGGAGACTCAGCTGACGATTGCAGCCCAAATGAAGAGCCAGGAGCGCGCCCTGGTGGAGATGCAGCAGAAGCAGGAGACGCAGGATCGCAAATTTCAAGCGCTGCTGCAACAGCAGCTACAGCGCCAACTGCAAATGGAGGAGCATATCAAGGCTCAGCAGGAGCGCATCAATATGCACCTTCAGCTGATGATGAGCCAGCCCATCGTGGCACAAGCCACAACCACCGATACCCAGCCAACTCCCACTCAGAGCGAGAAAGTTCCAGCGGTTGCCATGACAGCCAAGGATGAGAGCAAGGAGCAGATGCTGCAGCTGGAAACGGATGTCAAGCGACATTTGCTGGAGAAGCAACGACTGGAGGAGCTGGTAGCCAACATGCGTGTCAACTATGAGCAGGAAATTGAGCTGATCGAGAGCTCCTACAAGTAATTTCTATAAGTCCACTAAATTCCACAAAGATCTCACAATGTGTTGTTTTTTTTATTTTTTTATTAGGAAACAACTAAGGGTATTGGAGCAGCACTTGACTGCAGTCGAGGAGCGTCTGAAACTAGAGAACTGCGAGATGAAGGAGTACTATACAGATAAGCTGGAGAAACTCAAGAGCGACTACGAACTGCAAGTCTCAAGCTTGAAGCAGGACCACGAAGACGACTTGCGCGCGCTGCGTAGCTCGCACGATGCGGACATGGAGCGCATAAGGCAAGCCAAGATGCTGGAGCAGGCGACGGTGCGGGACCATGGCAGCTACTTGGAAACGTTGCGCTTGGCGTCCAATGATCTGCAAGAGCTGCGCGAAGGCCTGAGCACAACGAAGGAGCGCGAGCAGCAGCTGGAATTGCGAGAGCGTCGTTTGGCAGATGCGGAGCGTCGCTTGAAGATCGATGAAGAAGGCGCCGACCAGGAGAAACGACGTCTCATGGAGCTAGTGAGCACATTGGAATTGCAGCTGGAGCGCCTCTCCAAGGACACAGCCGAAGAGAATTGGCAGTTGCGTCAGCGCATGGCCGCAATAGATTCGGAGAAGAAGGCATTTGAGCGTGAGAAGCAGTTTCACCGTGAGCAAATGGAACGCGACGAGAAGCGAATGGAGGAGCTCAAAGCACTGCAGCTAGCCGAAATTGAGCGCATGCACCTGGATGTGCAGCAGGAGCGCAATCGCCTGTTAGTGGAGCAGCAGAAGGTCGAAATGCGGCACAAGCTGCATGAACAGGGCGACTTGGATAAGGAACGATTGGAGGTGGAGGCGCAGCTGCAGGTGGCGCGAGATGCCATCAAGAAAGCCGATGAGCAGCGGGAGCGCTGTCACAGACAACAGCGCGAGCTGGAGCAACGCAAGCGAGTGCTGCTCGAAAAGGAAAACGCACTCAACCTCAAGGAGGATGAGCTGGTGCAGACCTCGAGCACCTATCGCGTGGCCATTAAGCGTCTGCAGACGGCCGAACAGAAGTCCCGGGAAGCCGAGCAAATGCTGCATGCCAAGCTGCAGCTGCTGGGCAACCGCGTCCGCGAGCTGAGCGAGAAGGAGGCACAGATCTCACAGGAGCGCATGCTACTCACCCAAGATCGTATTGCCTTGCATAAAATGAAGCAAAAGATTGGCCAAAGCAAATGCGCGCTCTGTAAGATGGGCGTCGAGAGCGTGGAGTTCAATCAACGTATGGCCGCCCACGGCCAAGGCCACGACAAAGGAAGTGCCGAGACGTCTGCGCTAGAGGCAGAGGCTCGCGCTCAGCCCATATCTCAGATAGAGAATCAAGCGGCAATCTCGGCGGGTGATATTGTTGACCGCATGTTGGACGAAAACATTGAAGCCTCTTATCGCAGAATGTATAATTTGTCGGAAAATGGAGAGCTGGACTTTTGGGCAACTGTTGGACTTGATGATGACTCGAAAAAGTTGGCTTTAGACAATGGGAATGCCTTGGACATCGAAGAATTAATGTTAGCCAATCTGAATGCGCGATAGAGATTAATATTTGAATTTAAGCACTGTTTTTCGATATTTTTGAATAACAATCGATATATCCAGCATAGCTTTCAGTGTGTACATTTGCTTTTAATATTTAATTTCATTCCTCTGCTTGTTGCATTCCGCTTTGCGCATTTTTCCGTGGCGTTTGTTATTATTCTTTTGTGTGACGAAGCAACCGTAGCATTTTAGTAACATTCAATTAAGTATATTTATTATGTTGTTCAATAATTTCCGTTAATAATATGTTGAAATAATCAGTATTTCGCGTTCTACGCCTACGTGTATTAGTGTGTTCAGTTTCGTTTTTTTGTGCAAGTTTAAATTTGTATGTGTAGTGTTATATCTCTGTTTATATGTATGTAAGCTTGTAAATGTGAGTGGAGGAAGCTCCAAAGCCGCGGAAGTAACAAGAAATCCAAATGAAAACGCAAAAAATATATTGCATATGAAAATTGACGCAATCGAATTCGACGACAATTTCGAGCAACTACGAAAGACCCAGAATCGAACTACGTAAGTGGATGAAAAGCGAAAGCAAATACGTGTTTACGTATGTATGTGCATTTTCAGATGTGCATGTGTGTATGTGGTGCCAACAGTACATATAGACATATACTTCGGTGTTTGAAGCAAATTATTATATGTATATATTTGGCTATGAATTTCATAAAATAATGCTGATTATTGTAATATCCATCTTTATTATTTTTGCTCGTTCATTTGTATTCATTCGAATTTAGTACATTTTCTTCACGCCGTTTGTGCCAACACCTACATCTGCATATACATATATGTGTGTACACACCTTCGCAAATACGTATGCATACATATGGACGTATGCAAATTTTAACTTGTCGAACTGCTGCTGCTCATACTCATCACATCATTTGTTGTTCGCTTATATATTCATATATTTTATTGATTGGCTTTAACCTTTGCATCATTGCCTAGGTGCTCTGCCCCGTCTACTTTTACCTCGCCGGTTTATGTTTTCTTATCTATTCTGTCCTCTTTTTTGATAGCAATTTAATTTCGTTTTCATATTGTGTGTGTATGCACCGGTACCACATCTGTGTTTCTATCATGGACGTATGTGTGGACAGTGAACATGCATATATGTATGTGTGTGTGTGTTTGCGGGCATTCATGCTGAACAGCTGTTCCCCTCTCAAGGCAATCGTGAGAAAGTAGCGCATTTGTTTGTTTTGATTCGCCGCGACACACAGAATCCCAAATCGAAAGCCCTATCAAATATAATAAATACTCATACATATATATGTATATGAATAAGAAGATAATACATTAATCGGAATAAATAGGAAATAATTATTTATTCAGCGTCAGAAGCAGACTACGCAAAGATCTTGCTGATTATACAGAATTTAAATTCTTATTATAATACATAAATAATTAAAAATATTCAATGCATCTCAGATAAAAAGCAAATTAAGCTCTATTGTATATAATTTTGTAACATTAGCATTATTATTTGAGGGAAATAAAGCAAAAACTATTGTAAATATAAAAAAGCCTAATTGCTTAACTGAGCATTATTATACATTACATTAAATTGAACCCGTATCTGCCTAGATTTAATATTTATATTATGTTTACACATTTCAATATATACACTTATATGTACTCTATTATTTATATAAACCTTATTGTTAAAATAGGGCTACAGATACCCGTGAAAGTTTTCCCTTCATAAAAATATCTGTTTATAAACATCAGATATTAATTCAAAACTTGTTGAATATTGTTACCCCTTATGATTGAACATAAACCATTATTAAAGTTAG